ACTCGTCACCTTATCCTATCCTTCATGATTTCGTGCTCAACTTAAGAGAGGAATAAATCTCTTAAGCAAAAGTAGCCGAATCATGTTTCACGCTCTCCAATAACAATTTATACTAACTCGTCTATAAGAATTGATAGCGACGCTATTGCGTGGAAGGCCACATAGTTCCATTAAGCACATTTCACTATTAAAAGAAATAAGAGGAAAACATAAGGTCAAACAGCTGAATAACAGAAAGTCTAATCACTCTTTCAATAACGTTTTTGTTTCAATGTACGATTCCGGATGACATAAGAAAGTGATGTTATACTTTGAACGGGTGCGTGAGGTACACGATCGAATTCTTGACACGTTCTCATACGACACAGCAACGAGGAAGCGTTAAGGTGATGCACTCTGCTCTACTGCTAATAAATTAACTGCCAAGTCTAAAAAATCTACAGTTCAATTTCTCCTTCTCGTAAAAAGTAGTAGGAGGAAAACCCTGCGCCTTTGTGCGTCGAACTTTCACTCGTAAAAATGTTTACGTTTTCCAGAGAAAGCCACATAACCACTTATGATTGCCATATATCGCGAGAGACGGGTCTGAAGCATGCCGCATGTGTTGGATTTTCCCGATATTTCCCAACTCCCGAACGGTCGCTCATAAATTACCTACAATAACTTAATCGTTTTACAGACGTCCCTTGCAAATGCTCACCGGCGTGAACAAATACATGGAAATTGTATTAATTCTCTATATTCTTAGAAATAATATACCCAGTCGTCCATTAGCGACGCTTCGCTATCACAATTTAGATACATTAATTGCGTAATTTCGCATAACATTTCGGAGGTAGATCGCCAGAAACCTCTACGAATGATTTATGACACGAAATAATCTGTGAGAAAAAGCCCTTTCTTTGTCTACTTGGATTCAGGCGGAAAATCGCCGAGTCCGAGCCCACGCGACTGTGATTGCCGGTGACGTCGTTGTAACTAGATAATTACTAATCTTTTTCAATGCAGTGACAGCAGATGAATAGAGGTATGACATAGCTTCTTAATAGCTGCGATCTAATGCAATCGCAGAAACAGATGAAGACTTTCGTGCACAAACGCGAGACAGCGAACACAATGAGAGTATCCCAATCGATGCGCGGTCGATCACTTAGACGCACGAACCCTGACTGACTCTCTCTTCCGCCGTGACTAGCCGTACGCAACTAATAAGACGGGTTCACACTTGCACGATTTTCTATCTCTTTCTATCTTTCCAAAATCTACTGTTGTCGCTCTTGTAAACAAGGTCGAGCGTAGCTAGGTGTCGATTACCGCTATGCTCGCTCTCGACTTTCGACAAAGGCGTCGAACTTAAAGGGGCAGGGGGTGTAACATTATGAAGCCTGCTAATTGAAACCATGGCTCTCATCACATTCTCCCCCAAGCCAAAGATCTCTCTAGCATCACAGGCTTCATCAAACTTTAACTACATTTTTTTACTTAACAATCACTCTTTAGTATAATATAGAGGACTTTTTAGTATAATATAGAGGATAATACAGAGGACTCATTATATATATTATAGTTAAATTTATTTAATTAATTTTAATTCTAATTTTTCAGCGAGCTGGTGGATTTTGTGGATGAGGTCCATGCACCTACAGTTGTTAGGGTGAAAGCTAAGTACGACCTCTTTAAATTTGTACTTAGTAATGGAAGTCACAGGAGAATCGTATGCTTAATTTGGGGCAAGTCGTTGATCCAGAAATATGTGGAGAAAATTACCATTGGAAAGGTAAGATACATTGTCAAAATTTTCTACTTATTTATATATACATACACATAACAAAACAATACAATATATACAATACAATACATACATAAAATTAATATGTCATTTTATATTATTCTTCTAGATCTTACACATTGAAGGTGGATACACTAAGGCTGCTTCATTGTCATTCTACAAAGAGGCAAATAATCATGTGGCTTTCGAACTACTTATCAAGGAGAACACTACAATTTCATACCTTGGGCAGCGGGATGAAGAAAAAGAGAATAAATTTGATGAAGCACTTATTCAAAATGTAACTTTTGCGGACATTGGCAAGTCTAAGGGCTTAATCTGTAAGTTATTTATTAATAAAACTAATAATTAATAAAATATTTTCTAAATATATAATTCATTTTTTTTTTTAAATATATAATTCTATCATTTCAAATTTCAAATTAAATTAAAAATCACACTTGGTTTTTATTAATCTATCTAATAATAACTAATGTATTTGGAAAAATAAATGCATTCAATGAAAAAAATTAAGAAAATTATTCCTTATAAGAATATATAAAAATATGAATAATAATATCCAGTTGCTTTCATACGTTAAAAATTCTTACAGGTATTGAAGGATATGTCAAAATGAAATTCATTGTAGGAGACAATAAATTCAAATCAGCATCGTATGGATGTGGAGCGATTACCGATGGCACATTCAAAGTCGTCGTGCACATTATGAATTATACTGAATTGAACCTGGAGAAAGGAACTCGAGTAAAAATCATTGGAGAAGTGCAACCGGGTATGAATAAATGTTAATTGTACCATATAACTTTTAAAATTGTTATATTATTTGAATCAATAATTCCTAAAATGATTTTAAGGTGGCGGACCAGTAACAATTACTTGCAGAGATGTCAACTCTATAATTGAAATTCCAGGTGCTTCAAAAATGAATATGGTGGAGATTGCACATGGTATTAAAAATCCGAAGAGGGGATATGATTAAAAAACTAATTTAATTATTCTATATAAGTTATATAAATCTTCGTTCGTATTTTTATATATTTATTCCATAAAAAATAATTTTCTTAATGTTTTTGCATTGAGTGCACACATTTTGCCAAATACATTAGTATTATTAGAATATTAATAAAATACAAATGTGATTTTAAATCTAATTATTTAGAAAATGTAATTTTAACAGTATAGTATCATAATTTTATTTTATAGAAAAACGACTGATGTAGAGATACATTTTGTAATATTAAATCTTTCATGCTGTAAAAATGTAACTCATATACTACCATAATAATGCACTTACACTAATCATAAATTATCTTAAGATATAGTTGAAATATTTCATTAAAAATAAGAAATTATGTAACTAAAATATAATACTCAATAATATTAATGTCATTACTTTTTTATTACCATTGCAATTTATTGTAAAAAAAATGTGTCGCTCATTTCATTATATTGTTCCAAAACATGTATTTTATTTAAATTAATGTAACAATGTACATAAATATCATTATGTATTATGAATGCTATTAATATATAACTATGTATCCCTTAAATTTTGTTTCATTACTTTGTAACTGAGTATTAATTTGAAATTAAAATAATAAAATGTTATCTAGAAAAGATATTCATTTATTTCTAACAAACTTCGAATATTTTGTAATTTCATGTAAATAATTCATTTTATTGGTGATTTACTTGGTCTACGCCAACTTGGAAAATCAAGAAATTTTTTTTCGAGAAAATAGCAATTAAAGTTTAGTCGAGTGCGTATCTGCCTACCTGCGCCGCGTGCGGCCAGCGCTCAAGACCGTCAGCTGAAATATTTACAGCGGCTATAATATTTCAAATAGCTCTATAAAATTTTAACAGCATACTCTCGAAATGTTGTACTTTCGATTTATGCAATAAAAAAAATCGATTTTTCGACTCATCTATAGGAGGATCCCCTTAAAGCTGATCACGTGAGCATGCGCACTTGACCACCATTGTATTGTACATATTAGACAGCATCTTATTTGAGTTAGTTGAGCGTGCAGTCAACACGTAGCCAACAGTTTTTTGTGCTTAATATACAAATTTGATCTGTGATATTTTGTTTGTTTACCTAATTTTGATTATTCAAAATTATAAGTTTGCAGCGCTACTCATCGGTTATAAAAAATATAAGTGATGCATGTTTCAATCAACATGTATTTTCAGTTAACCTTAAAGTAACAGTAAACAGCGTCAATATCAGCAACATTATATCAAATCCATTTGGATTATAAATGCAAAGGTAACTGTATTATAATTATGCTAAAATTAGTTCAGATTCATAAAAATTTGAAAATTTTCGTTCGATTAAAATTCTGTAATATTTTATAGAATAATAATCTGCAGTGCAAAATTCTTGCAAAATAATTTTATTTTTATATCTAATACTAATTTAATTAAATTGTTATCTAAAGTATCTAATACAATATTGCACATATGCACATGAAGTACAATTTTCTAAAGGATCAATAATAATTTCTAGAAAAATCTACAGTAAAAAGAAGGCCAACTGTAGTGTAATCAATACAATAAGCTTATATTCTGAATTAGATATATGACACATGTTTGTATCTTTTGTAACATAAATTATTATTTATATACCTATAGCTACTATTCGATTAAATAGATTGTTGACTACCACATTTATTTTTTCAGATTTATTCGTATTCTAAGGATAGTGGCTTGTGCTGATATAGTTTTGGTGAGTACATTAATTTTAAAACACTGTGATTGTGTCAAAAACTGTATTATTCATTATTATATTTATGTTTCAGGTTCTACTGTTTGTCTAGATTACAACTCATTTGTTAAATTATTATACGATTCCAACACTATTAGATTCTGACATTAACATAATGTTATATTTATTGAAATTGTAAATATATTTTTATATCTAAATAATAAATGTACTATATTTATTTATAAATATCTATACCTCGCTTAACCTAACCAGACCAAACGAAACCAAAGCTTAAACCAAACAACCCAAACGAAATTAAACTAGATTTGAAATTAACCCAAACTAAAGTCCAAAAAATAAATCAAACAAGATTTTATTGATGTCAAAAATTTACAGGATTTCGATAAGTTCTCAAAATTGTATAATTTAAAAGTGTTTTAACTTTATATTCATTTGACGAGTTAATAATTACTAAATAACTTATCATTAAGAATTTACATTATGGGTAGAAACAAACACACGGACATCGAAGCAGATGTTGCTAAAAAAAATAGACGAATCCGTGAAAATGAAAATCAACGTCGTAGACGACAAACGGCTCGGCAATGCATTGCTGATAATAATCGTATTTCCAACGATATAGTTGAAAAAGATTACTTAGGGCTGATGAATATTTTATGCATGCACTGCCAAGCAAAACATTTTGAAGATGAAAAAGTTTCTAACAAAGGATTATCTTTCAATGACTGTTGTAGTCATGGATCAATAAAACTAGAAGAATTTCCGGATTTTCCACCTCAACTTAAAACATTGTTCAATGGAGATCACGATAAATCATCAATGTTTTTCGAACGTATCCGCAATTATAATAACTCTTTATCTTTCGCCTCATTTAATGCTAATTTAGCCAATTTTCAAGTGCGTCGATCAGGACCATATTGTTTTAAAATTCAAGGCCAAATCTATTATCAAATGAATACAGCTTTATATCCTGACAATGGCGAAAGTCCTTCATATGGTCAACTTTTTATAATAGATCAAAATGAAGCTTTAGATTATCGAATTCAACAAAATCCTCTTATAGATTATGAATTAATGTCAATTCTAGACACAATTATTCGCAATAAAAATATTTATGCTAAATCGTATGAAATGATGAAAGAAGAAATACGTGCACAACAATTAATAAATGATATAAGAAATGATTCATCACCTTCAGAACTGACATTATTATTTTCATTGAAACCTGGTCAAGATCATCGTCGATATAATTTTCAAAGAGTTAATGAAGTTGCTGCAATTTTTTCAACAACTGCTGATGGAGAAATACCCGAATCATATATTACCATACGAAATAAAAATACAAAACTCTTAGAAACAGTTAGTTCCTTGGATCCAAACGTAGAACCATGGGTTTATCCTTTATTTTACCCATATGGTACGCGTGGTTGGCATCATAATATGTTTAACGTTAATTCTAATCGTAAAATCACACGTTTGGGTTATACTAAACATCGAATAGCTATTAGAGAAAATGAATTCAATCCGATTATAAGAGGGCGTAGACTATTTCAACAATGGGTAGTAGATAGTTATGTAAAAATTGAACAAGACAGAATTCAGTATTGTAAGAATCACCAGAAAGAATTACGAGCTGATACGTATAAAGGTTTACATGATTACATGGCACATAGTGCTAATGATGTTAATGGTCATGTAGGCAAAACTATAATTCTTCCTTCATCATTTACTGGCTCACCTAGGTATATGCAACAATGTTATCAAGATGCTATGGCTATTGTAAATGAAACAGGTAAACCTGATATTTTTCTCACAATGACATGCAATCCAAATTGGCCAGAAATATCAGAAAATGTATTGCCAAGTCAACAAGCATCTGACCGGCCAGATATTGTAGCAAGAGTTTTTGATTTGAAAAAAGATCATTTACTCGATATGGTTGTAAAGAAAAGTTTCTTTGGTAAAGTTGCATCTTACGTATATGTCATTAAATTCCAAAAAAGGGGATTACCGCACATGCATTTATTGATTACATTAGAACAAGGGTACAAAATAACTACGTCTGATATAGTTGATACATTTATATCAGCTGAAATACCAATTAAAATAAGAAATCCAGGTCTATACGATATCGTTATAAGAAATATGGTTCATGGACCTTGCGGTAATTGGTGTATGAAAGAGGGCAAATGTTCAAAAAATTTCCCTAAAGAGTTTCAGCAAGAGACTACTATGGATGAAAATGGTTATCCGTATTATCGTAGAACCGATACCGGCACTTCTTACGAATGTCCTAATGGGCATAAAATAGATAATAGATGGGTGGTTCCATATTGTGCTAAATTATTACTAATTTTCGATTGCCATATTAACGTGGAAGTAGTTTCAAGTATTAAAGCTGTGAAATATTTATACAAATATATCTATAAAGGTCATGATGCTGCTACAGTAGTAATTGGTCAAGCAGAAAATGGTGCCACTATTGAACATGATGAGTGTCGTAATTTTATTGAAACACGTTATGTTGGTCCTGTGGAAGCATGCTATCGAATTTTAAGTAAAACATTGCAAGATAAAAGTCACACCGTCATAAGATTACCAATACACTTACCTAACGAACAATCTGTAATAATTACACAGAATGAAGATGAAGCTTCATTGATAAACTGTTTAAATAATTCCAGTAGTATGTTGCTTGATTATTTCACTTTAAATGCAACAAATGAAACAGCAAGACAATATTACTATCCTGAAATACCTAAATATTTTACCTACAAGAAAAGAAAAATTAATGGTAAAGTCACTTCTTCATGGGAGACTCGAAAAAAACATTTTAAATGTATAGGTAGAATGTTTTCAGTAAGTCCAATGCAAATTGAATTGTTTCATTTAAGATTACTTTTACTTCATGTGAAAGGAGCTACAAATTATAACGACTTAAAAACAGTAGATAATGAATTACATCCTACTTTCACATCAGCCTGTTTAGCATTAGGAATTATTGAAGATGACGATGAATGGAACGTAGCTATGAGAGAAGCAGTTACTTGGATGATGCCAAAACGTTTGAGACATTTATTTGTTCTAATATTATTACACTGTCAACCTATTTATCCAGAAAAATTATGGGAAACATTTAAAGACGCGATGTCTGAAGATTTTTCACGTAATAATGAATTGAATATCAGTTACCAAATGGCCTATTCTGAAATAAATGATATTTTGATAAAAGAAGGAAAAAGTTTAGCTGACTTTCCGACAATGAATCAAAATGTTATGATTCAGATAATGATCGACACTAATGATACCGATGAGAGAAATCATCGATTACAAATTGGTAATGAACAATATCAAAAATTGAATGCTCAACAAAAAGAAATAGTTGATAAAACTATTGAAGCATCACGTTCTGATAATTATACTGGGCCAACTTGCTTTTACATAGATGGACAAGGAGGTTCTGGAAAAACTTTTGTTTACACTACTATTTATAATCTTCTAATATCAGACAATATTAAATGTTCTACAATGGCATATACTGGTATTGCTGCAACATTGCTGCCTCACGGAAAAACAGTACATAAAACTTTTGGTTTACCAGTTCCTATGTTTCATGATTCATCTTCTAATATTAAAATACAATCTAATGAAGGTATGCTTTTAAAAAATACTAAAGTATTTATTTGGGATGAAGCCCCGATGGCTCCAAGATACGTTTTGGAAATAGTTAACAGAACATTACGAAATTTGATGGACAATGATTTACCATTTGGTGGAAAAATAATGATTTTAGGTGGTGACTTTAGACAATTGCTTCCTATAAAGATTCACGGAACGCGTAATGAAATTTTAAATTTATCTATCAAAAACTCGCAATTATGGCCATTATTTTCAATATTTCATTTGAAAACGAATATGAGAGTTCTACCACATGAAATTGAATTCGCCAAATATTTATTGGATGTTGGTAATGGAACTATAAATGATACAGATAATAATATACAGCTTCCACACCACTGTATACTACCTTCTAATGAATGCATTGTTCAAAACATTTTTGGAAAGTTAATTAAAGATAAAAAGTTTGATGAAATTAGTCATTGTGCTATTTTGTCAGCCAGAAATGCTGATGTAGACGATATGAATAATAAAATTACCGATTTATTAGATAAAACTACTGAACACATATACACTGGCATAGACAGCACAGAGAACTGTGAAAATGGTGAAATGGGAGAGGTTCTTTTACCAGAATATCTTAACTCATTAAACCCACCGAACTTTCCTCCTCACAAATTGCGTTTAAGAAAATTTTGCATAATCATGTTAATAAGAAATATTAATCTCAGTGAAGGATTATGTAATGGAATAAGATTACAAGTAATTGATTTTTCTAATCATTTACTGAAATGTAAAATATTAACTGGAGACAAACGCAATAACATAGTATTTATTAATCGAATTACATTGTACTGTGAAAATCAATATCCGTTCACTTTCAAAAGACGACAATTTCCAATTCGATTAGCTTTTGCTATAACTATCAATAAATCTCAAGGACAAACTCTAGCAAAAATTGGTATCGATCTTCGAAGAGATGTTTTTAATCATGGTCAGCTTTATGTTGCGATGTCTAGAGTGCGATCATGGGATTCATTGAAAATTTATTTAGGAAATCAGAGACAAACTTTGAATGTTAAAAATTATGTTTATACAGAATTATACCAATGAGATTATTTTTAACAATTTACAAATTCTAATTATTGTGTTATTAACATATAAACGATAATTATTTAGATATAATATATTTTATATTGCACGTTATTAACATTGGGCGCGCGAAGCGCGCTGTGGTGTTCTAGTACTAAAGAATATTGATTAGAAAAAGAGCTATTTAAAATACCAGTTTTTGGGGATGAACTTTGAGGGTAAATTTCACCCTTTAAATGTGTTTTTAAAATATTTTTATTATAATAATATCTATAAAGCAGTAAAAATGATAAAAAATCGCTATTAAATAATTTTAATATCGAAAGTTATAATTTTCATTAATAGGAGTGGCTTTATCCTCTAAAAATACATTTTATTTAAAATACTGGAAAACATAAACTTATTTTGTCTATTTTCTTTGTAAATATAAAAATTTTGTAATATTTACACTATTTTAAAAGTTCTTTCTACAGAAAATGATGTCAATTTTTCAATTTTTCGTGTATTAAAAATAGGGGTTGTAACCCCCAAAAGTCAAACACACCAGAGTTTGTTTTACTTTCTATAAGGATTATTACCCATTTTGTTTTACTAAAAAATATTGACTAGAAGAAAAGTTATATGAAAAAAATTTTTTTAGGGGAGTTTGCCCCTTAAATATGTTTTGCCGCCAATAAAAAAAATACCAATCTCTTGCTTTTTTAATGTTCTACGACATATACAAGAATTATAAAAATCGGTGAGTTCGGGTCGGGGTACCTTCTTTATAAAAACTGTTCATTCTTAGATGGCTTTTTTTTTAGTTATTTGAATTAGAGAAAAAATATACAGAATAGTTAGATATTGAAAAGTTTTTAATGTACATGTTCGTTTGTTTATAAGTATGATGATAAAAATGTCTTTTAAAACCTTTTAGATAAAAGAAAATTTTATTTGGGCCATTTTGATTTATATCTTGAGAAAGGGAGAGAAGTTCACATTTTGGAAATTATTCTTTTTTTTTACAGTATATGCAATATTAATTATGAGATAGCTATATTTACCTTCTCGGCGCATTCCCATTTTTAGACACTTTTTGAGTCGACAATATTGACATTGATTTCTATGATGCTGATCTATTGGGCAATTGCGATTACCTCTACAAGTGTAAGTCAAATTTCTTCTGACACTTCGTTTAAAAAAACTCTTGCAACCTAACGCAAGAAAAATATTATTCATTGACATCAATCATGATTAACTAAATTTTATTCTAGTAATAATAAATCACATTTTAATAATTAAAAAATCTCATAATCAACAAAAATTAAATAATTAGATAATGTATATTAAAATGATAAGAAAGTTTAAGTCTTGAACACGATTCTAAACTGATCATTCAAGCAATTTTAACTCATGATGCTCGTATAAAATTTAGAAAAGTCATTTTAAATTGATGAACAAAATATCTCACATGTTATCAGAATGCAGTAAGGTAAAATGAAGAGAGGTAAGGCAATGGATATGTCGCAAGATAGTGATTACATCAGGTATATTAATACGGTTAGTATAGTGCAAAGTATTATTTTTATACAATATATTATTAATAAATAAAGAAATTTGCGTACGAAGGTTTGATAACACGAATCGCAATTTAATAATTAATTTGCCAAAAATAATTAAACATATATAATTTGAAAAAAAATAAAGAAAATATATTTAACTACAACATATATTTTTTTTTGAAATGGACAAATATCTCTGCCAACTTTTTGCATTATTATTAATTAATATATTTGTTAAAAAAAATCTTGAAAAGTGAAGCCTATAAACGTTTTGATTGGTCGGTTGAAAATGAGAGTAGGATTTATACGTGGTCTGTTCAAAAAGTATCGCGAATTTTGCTTGTTTTCAAAAATTATTTATTTATTTATAAATGTCTATTCTATCTCCTTCAAAGTAATCCCCCTAGGATATAATGCACTTGTGCCAACGTATTTTCCAATCCTCCAAGCATTTAAAAAATTTTTTTTTGTGATCTTGTTTAACTCCTCCTTCGATACCATCTTTATCCCCTCAATCGTGGCGTAGCATTGCCCTTTTATGGGCCCCTTCAGTTTTGGAAACAGGAAAAAGTCACGGGGGGTCAGGTCTAGGGAAGACGGTGGCTGCGGCACCATTACTGTGTTATTTTTGGCAAAATATTCGCGCACAAGCAACGATGTGTGAGCAGAGGCGTTATCATGGTGCAAAAGCCAGTTTTTGTTCTTCCACAAATCCGGGCGGACTACTTCGCGCAAATTGCGCATAACTTGCAGATAATATTCCTTATTGACCGTACTACTCTTTGGCAATAACTCATGATACGAGGTCTGTCCGGAAAGTATCGGGCCTACGTTTATATCTTCGCGCCATAGTGTTCGAGCGACCTCTGCCAGACAGAGACATCAACAGTAAAGCCTCACGAATCTATTGGTTACTTACTGACACCTGCCGGACGTATAGTTCATGCGCAGCGTATCTTTGTCTAAACTGCCTTTTTCACGTTCGTTGGATTTTGATATTGTCAAAAATGACTGAAAAACAAAATCGGAAAAACGAGTTCGGAAACTATTGAAATAATGAAAAAGGCCTTCGGAAGCGAGTATATGAGTAAAACACGAATAAAAGAGTGGTATAAGCGGTTGAAGGATGGTCACTCTTCTGTCAATAGTGATTCTCGTTCCAACCGATCTTCAACGACCAAAACCGTATATAATATTGAGCGGGTGCGACTTGCAATCGAACAAGATCGTCGTATGACTGTGCGAGAACTAGAAGAAGACCTTGGGATACCAAAAACTATCATTTCAGAAATTTTAACCGAAAATTCAGGAACGAAACGCGTGTGTGCGAAATTCATCCAAAAATTGCTCACAGCAGAGCAGAAGAACATTCGCTTAGAAATCGCTCTGGACAATCTGGAAATGGTCGATAATGATGATAATGTGCTTAAAAAAGTCATTACAGGTCATGAATCATGAGTTTATGATTATGATCCTGAAACAAAACAACAATCTTCACAGTGGAAGTATTCTGAATCGCCAACACCAAAAAAAGCACGTCAAAGTCGGAGCAATGTTAAGTCAATGTTGATTGTTTTTTTCAATTGTGAAGGTGTTGTACATCACGAATATGCACCAACAGGTCAGACAATCAATAAAGAATACTACGTTCAAATTTTGAAACGTTTGCGTGATGCAGTAAGAAAAAAACGGCCACACTTTTGGGAAAGTGGTGACTGGCTTCTCCATCACAATAATGCGTCAGCGCATTCATCCAATCTTGTGCAGCAGTTTTTGAGCAAACACAATATCGCATTGCTTTGACAACTTCCATACAGTCCCGACATAGCCCCTTATGACTTTTGGCTGTTTCCAAAACTAAAAAAACCACTCATAGGACACCGATTCGATGACAAAACAAGGGTTGAAAACAATGCGACGAGTGTACTTAAGGCTATCCCTAAAAGTGAGTTCCAGGACTGTTTTGAAAAGTGGAAACATCGATGAAACTGTGTTATTCAATCAAGTGGAGATTACTTTGAAGGATGCTACCCACCAAATGAGAAAGAATAACGCTAGCACGAAAATATAAAGGTAGGCCCGATACTTACCGGACAAACCTCGTATATCACGCCCCTGTAATCGAAGAAAACTGTAAGCAAAACGTTCGACCAAATTTGGCGCGCTTTTTTCGGTTTTGGCTTAGCGGCAGCTTCCATTGGGATGATTGAGCTTTGGTTTCCACATCATAACCATAAACCCATGATTTATCACTGTTATGATCCTCTGGAGCACATTTGGGTCGTCACGGACCGAGTCCAACATCTCCTGAGCAATGTTAACGCGATGCTGTTTTTGGTCGGAATTGAGCAGTTTTGGCACGAATTTCGCGGCAACCCGACTCATGCCCAATCATTGGTTAAAATCGAATGGCATGAGACAATCGATATGTTTAGATCGTCCGAAACTTCTCTAACAGTGATTCGACGATTGACCAATAATATTTTCTTCACTTTATAAATGTTTTCGTCTATTGTTGACGTGCTCGTGCATCCGGCACGTTATTCATTATTCATCTCGGCCCTCTGAGAACATTTTGTACCATCGATAAACGTTGCTTTGGTCCAAGGTAGCATCACCATATGCCACAGTCAACTGTCGGAATGTGTCCGCGTACTTTATTTTGTTTTTCACACAAAATTTGATACGGATTCTTTGATCCATTTTTTAGAATAGGCAAAAATCTAAGACGAGCCAAAACACATTCAACCAAAACAGCTGTCAAAAATTAACTAAATATTCAAAATGTCCGACCTTGTCAACATAAGTAACGGACATAAGTACCAACATAACACTATAAAAAAATCAAAAATCAAATTTACGTAGCCCACGGAAATTCCAAATTCGCGATACTTTTTGAACAGACCTCGTACATTTAATTGACCTATACGATTTGATATAATTTGGTGTGAAATTTTTGGAACATCATGTGTGTTATATGTTATAAATTTGTGACGGAGAATCACGGCTCGACCGTTGCTCTCCGTCGGGCTCTCACTGTTTCCCCGTGCGCTTTGACGAGCTGGGAGTGTGCACTAGTTGATCACACTCTAATCGCTCCGTTTCTTTCTTTTTTGTTCTATTCTTGAGGTGCGACGGCGACGGCAGCGATTTGGAGAGAGGGAGAGCCGACGTAGAGAGCACAGCGAAAGAGAGAGAGAGAGAGAGAGAGATAGAAGATAAGCGCAAGCCGGCGAGGCGTCGGCAGACCTGCGCGCGCATCTCGCTGGCTTGACGAAGGAACAGGCAGTACCTGTTGAGCTGCCGCACGGTCCACCGCGCGCACACGATTTTCTGCTGGGTTTTTGCTCGTGACTTGTGAGTTCTCGCGCCCTCACCGACGATTCGTGTATTTGAAATTGTGTATTTGAAGATAACCTGCGGAGGCAGCTGAACCGGCACCGGTGCACGTGGCGACCGGCGAGGTGACGCGGGAGTGTG